CGCTTTTTTATCCCTTCAGGAAGCTTGAAATTTGACGAGTCTTGATTCGTTAAAAAGGGAAACTCCTTTCACAGTACAAACCAAAAAGGGGCCCCCGTTTGATATAAATTTAAATTTGTTTTTTGGGATTTTTAAACAGGGGCTGTTTTTGGAAAATTATGTGTACCCCGGGAATTATACATTCCCAAAATCCGGGAATTTATTGGGCACTCAGATGAGGGGTTTCCCAAACAATGAAAACCCAAACCCTTTGGGAAAGGGGGCATATTTTTAATTTTACAGAAACTTAAAACAAGCCCCTCACTCATGTTTTTTTTTGGCGAGTAAAACATAAACAGTTTGGGGTTGGCAAAAGTCCGGCAAATCGAAACAAAACCCCCGGTTTTGACGCGGGCCCACTCAAAAGGTGGGGTCCCGGCTTTTGGGTTCCCAAAAAGACACATGGCATTTCGTGGCATGCCCAAACGATTTTTCCACACGGGTTATGTCTTTAAATTTCCCCCAAAAATGAAATGGCAGAAAAATGGCACCCGAAATAGAGAAGAAAGAACCCATTCAAAAAAACCTTTCAGCTTTTTATTGTTACACCTTAAAACCATGCTTTTCAGTGGAAAAATTTTTACATGCAGTTTTGTGTTTGCAAGATTTTAATAAGGGGTACATAAACTTTTTTTTCCATCTTCTGGCCCTTTCCATCTAAAAGCTTATAATATGAAAAGATGAGGACCAAAAAAAACCCCACAGTATGGCGAATTCTGTTTGTCTGTCATCGACAAAAAGTTTTCAATTTACCAAGAAACAAAAACCTGCAACTGACCCCCCCCAACCCAAAAATCAACAAAACCCTGCCAAACCAAAGCAGGGAATAAACTTCCCTTAAAAAAAACGCCTGCTACTGTTTTAAAGAAGAAGCCCAGAAAGGTTTTACTTTTGTGCACAAAAAAAAAAACGCCAAAAACAATGCAAACACTCTTTAATGTTTGAGGAGTGTAAAAAAACCCACGTAAATGACCCCCATGTTTCAAGGGTTCCACGGGCCCTTCCCCAAAAATTTCTAGAAACCCCCTTTTTACTGAAAAAGTTATATAAAATTTAGAAAAAATAGAAAATAAACAACTTTTCATGTCGTTTTTTTTGTGTAAAAATTTCTGAACAAAAAAGACAACAATGTTTACCCCTTTTTTGGTAGATTAAAAAAAGAAATAACTTACAAAATATTTGATAAGGTTGGGCCTCAAGGCCATAAAAGTTACTAAAAAAAAGAAAAATTGAAAAAAAATTTTGAAAAAGCCCTAAAAAAGTAAATAAAAAATCCCCGGGTGACGGCAGTCAGGATTTTTAACCAAAATGTTTTAAATTTTTGGCAAATTTCCAAAAAGCCTCCTATCTCGGAAAGTATTGACTTTAAAAAATTTTTTGTTTACCCCAAAAATTTTTTAAAAAAAAAAAACTATTTTTTTCAAAAAAAAAAAAATTTATTTTTTTTTTTTTAAAATTTTGGGCCCGGGCCCTGAAAACCCGATTTTTGGGAAAAGGGCCTCGACCCCCAAAGGGTTAAGGATTACAGGTTGGCTTTAAAAGGTTAATTAGGTTCTAGCATAAAAACCCAATTTCGAAGACTTTTCAGTTACAGGGGCCCCTTTGGGTTACGGCTGTAATCCATTCCAAAGCCACCTAAAATAAAAATGGGCCAAAAACCCCGAAAATAATAATTCCCCATAAGAATTTAAAGTAAATACAGTTAAAACCGTTCCAGACAAAAAATTTACAAGGTATTACATAAAAAAATAATAATAAAGGTATTACATACCTTTTTTAAAGAAAAAAGCTGGCTTTTGGAATTCTTTTTGGGTACACCCCTGGATGTTGCTAACCCCTGCATAAACCCGCTACACCCCTGGGTGCCTCCCACTTTCCCCGCATGCCTTCTACACTCCCCGGGTGCCCCGCTACAAATCCCTGCATGCCTGCTACACTCCCCCGCATGCCTTCCCCACACCCCTGGATGCCTGCTACACTCCCTGCATGCCTGCTACACCCCTGGAAAAACCCGCTACCTCCCTGCAAACCTGCTACACTTCCCCCCCCAACCCTGCTACACCCCGCAAAAACCCTACACCCCTGGATTCCTTCTACACTCCCCTGCAGCCTGCTACACTCCCGGGGCCTGCTACCCTCCCCCGGACCTCTACACTCCCTGCAAAGCCTTTTAAACTCCCTTGGTTTCCTGCTAAAACTCCCTGGGTGCCTTCACCCTCCCCGCTTCCCGCTACACCCCTGCAAAGCCTGCTACACCCCTGGATGGGCCCCCTACACTCCCTGCGCCGCTTTCACCCCGGGATGGGCCCGCTACAAATCCCTCATGCCGCTACACTCCCTGCATGCCTGCTACAAATCCCCGCGCCTGTAAAACTCCCTGCAAGCCTGCAAAACTCCCGCTTGCCCGCTACACTCCCTGGAGCCTGCTACAAATCCTTGCATGCCAACAAATCCCCGGAAGGCCCCGCTACAAAATCCTTCATGCCTGCCCAACCTTTCCCCGGATGCCTGCCCACACCCCTGCCTCCTTCTACACTCCCCGGGTCCTCTGCACTCCCTGCTGCCCCCTTACCTCCCTGATGCCTGCTTTCAAAACCCCGGGGTGCCCCTACACTTCCCGCATGCCCCGCTACACTCCCTTTGGAAAGGGCCCCCTACCTCCCCCGGGTGGGCCCCCTACACCCCCCTGCATGCCTGCTACAAAATCCCTGCAAAAACCCGCTACCCCCCTGGGGGGCCCGCAAAACTTCCGGGATGCCTGCTTTAAATCCCTGGAAGCCCCCCAAAATTCCCCCGCCTGCCTGCTACACTCCCTGCATGCCTTCTACACTTCCCGCCCTGCCTGCTAAACTCCCCCGGAAGCCCACTACACTCCGGGATGCCCCCCTTTTCACTCCCTGGAAGCCCCCCCTACACTTCCCCCGCACCTGCCCACACTTCCTGGATGGGCCTGGCACAAAATCCCTGCCTGCCTTCTACCAAAATCCCGCATCCCCGAACACTCCCTGCATGCCCGCTAAAACACCCCCGCCCTCCGCTTCACACCCTGCATGCCTGCTAGCTCCCGCTCCTCTAAAACTTCCTGCATGGGCCCCCTACAAACCCCCGGGTGCCCACTAACCCCTCTGTGCATGGGCCCCCAAAACTCTCTTTATGCCCACTACAAATCCCTGCAAAGCCTGCTACACCCCCCTTGATTCCGCTACAAAATCCCTGCATGCCTGCTACAATTCCCCGCAAAGCCCCTACACTTCCTGCATGCCTGCTACACTTCCTGCATGCCTCTTTTCACTCCCCGCATGCCCCTTTTCACCTTTTCCCGCAAATTTTGCTACACTTCCTGCAAAGTCTGCTAAAACCTCCTTCCAAAGCTGCTACACTTCCCGCATGCTGCACAAATTCCCCCGCATTCCGGGCACACTTCCGGGAGCCCCGCAAAACTTTCCGCATGCTTGCTACACTTCCTGCAAAGCCTGCTTTTTCTTCCTACATGCCTGTCCAAAACTCCCTGCCCTGGGCCCTTTTGCAAATTCCCGCATGTCGCTACACCCCCCGCATGCCTCTAAAAACTTCCTACAACTTGGGACACCCCTTGCATCCTGCTACAAATTCACGTTTAAAAATTTCCCTGGTGTTTTTAACTTTCTTTAAACCCCCCAGGGTCTTAAATAGAAAACTTTTTTTGGAGCCAAGGGTTTCTTATTTTGCAATTACACAGCAAAAAAACCCACAAAAAAAAAGGGAAAAAAAGCGAAAGTTTGGATATATGTGGGAGAACTTTCCTTTACAAAAATCCCAGAGACCTCCAAACTGACCGCAAGTGGGCCCAAACCCCGGGAGGGCGGAAAATTTTCCCAAAATGGCCAACACCAAGAACTGAAAAAACCCCCAATCACCGAGCCCGGCCATAACCAGGGCCAAATGTAATTTTAAAGGTTGGAAAATTACAGATAAAAAAATAAGAAATATTTTTTTTCCATTTTTTGTGGCATTTATTAGATTTTTTTCCACCAAGTGGGTAGTTTATTGTGGGCCCCCCATTTTCCATCCTGTTTACGGTATCGCGGAGCATAAAGGGTACACAAAAGGGCCCAGGAAAATAGGGCCCCCAAATGGTTAACAAAATACAAAATGTATATTTTAAAACTACCTATCAAAAATTACACTTATCTTTACAAAACAAATTTAAAGGGAAAATTTTTCCCTTTGTAAAATCGGTATCTTTTTTTCATTAAAAATATCTTTAATGTCACATAGGTTTTTAAACTGTCCCGTCTCTTTAAATTTCCCCAATAAGTTTAAAAATTAAGCACAAAGTGTTTTAAGAGAGTGACCATAGCCTGATCACAAAAAATTTCAATTTTGTTTTTAAACCCCCATCTGTGGGTCTCCCAAAAAGGGCCCAAAAAAACTTGTAACCAACCTAAGCCTGGCCACTACCACCAAACATTTAGTCTTTTCACAAATTTCAACCCTTGCCCATTAAAAAACAAATTTTGTTCAAAGTTATAATTTTGGGTTTTAGATCACTCAAGGGTTCTAACTGGGATTCCTATAAACAATCATTTTTTTTTAAAATTTTCTTCCTCCTAATATTATTCCTAATGCTTGACACAGTTATACCAAAGTTATATTCTACATTCTCCTTCTGGGTACTCTTCTTGGCTAACATATCAACTTTATCATGAAGGAGTAATGTGCAGTGAGAAAATGAAAATATACTATTATCATATTTAGCTGTTGGGCTATGTTAGTGAAGGAAGTGTTCTCTTTTTTTTATTGTAGTTTTGAAGATGCTGGCAGAAAGGGTGGCTCTGGAGATTTCTGGCAGGAAGTTCCAGTTTTTACAAAGATTAAGCCAGACATGGGGTATATCATATTAGAATTTATTGTTCTGTAAATGTAGGATGCATAGTGTTTAAGATGTCTCGGTTACTAATCTTGTATTGTTTCACACACAGGAAATCAAGCTGGAGCAAGAAATCACAAAGAGGAAGACACTGCTTACAGCTGCTGAAAGCATTATCCATGGAGATTCCCCAGTAGCTCACCCAGAGGTTGTGATGAGTGAATTGAACAAACTGGTAACTGCCTATCCTCTTCTAAAGGATATGAATGAAAATGATAACTTATTCAGGTATGAGTTATATTAAATATGTACAGTATTTCCCAATCAGTGCAAAGAATTCTGGTTAATTTTTTCACAGCGAATAGCTGGGAGGGTCGTGTTATGTCTTCACATCATAACATCAGCAAGGTCCTTGAAACTCTGTCATCATGTATGATGTAAGCAGTCTATTTTAATTAAGGATGAGAACTTGAGATCATGCCACTGAGTTAGGAGCCTTATGCAGAAATCTCTTAAAATTGTGAAATTCTCTTCATATACAAGAATTCATGTGTTCAGAGCTGTTGGAATAGACGATACTTCTAGTGTTGCCATGTGTACAAGAGAGTACTAAACAGTACTAAATCATGACATGAACTTGGTGATGCCTGTCTGCAATATTAAGGCTAAAAGGTGTGCTTGAGGCCCTGTAAGTTATATTTTTTTTTAGCATACATGCTCAATTAATAATGGAAATAAGAATCATGAGAGTTGTGCTTCATCAGAGAACTGGAGCAGGTGATAAACTTTATTATGGGTGAATTTGAATAGGAAAAGCTAGTTAAGAGGATGTCAATATAGACAGAGTAGTAGGAATTATATTTTGAGAAATGAAAATTAAAATAAAGCTGAATGTACATACAAACTGTGTGTTTCTAGAACCAAGTTACAGTATAAAAAATTAATTCTTTTGACATTGATAAGTGGTAGAGTAAAATGTGAATGGGAGACTGCCAAACCATCATGCTGTTTTAACCCGTAAATGGTCCAAACGTATATATACGTTTTTTTAACATTTGAAAGTATGTAAAAAAAGTAGATCTTCTTTTTGTTTTTTTACATTTGAAAATGTGTAAAAAAACTTTGATCTACTTTTTTTTTTGTTATATTTGAAAATATGCAAAAAAAAAACGTAGATCTAGTTTTGTAGCACTACACATGTGAAAGTAGATCTGCTTGGACCGTTTATGGGTTAAATACATACAGTACAATTTTTATTTCATTATATGGTATAAATAATGTAATTTTCATGAAATAAAACATTGGTACATGATGTTGTTACTCCAAGCATTGTACACGTGCATATACGCACTCATGCACATACATATACACATACATACAATAATATAGACAGTTGACTGAGTATGACAATAGTCTGTTTTTTCTTAACTTCAGTTTCAAAGTTATGGATGGACTGGAAGACAGCATTGCAAAGTGTATTGATTTTGGCCAGATACATGACCGCTTCCAGTTGTTGTCATGTCTAGAACTCAGTGTAATGGATCAAGGTGAGTTGCTCTGATTGTAGACATTAGTATACTATTAACAGAGATCATGAATCTGCACCTATATTTGGGGGGATTGAGCTAGAACTTTTAGACCCTGCATCTTAACCATTGTCATGGTACTGTAGATGATGGGTTCACACACAAGTTAAGCACTGTTGGATTTGGCCAGTAACTGGCTAGGTGGCCTCATGGATGTTACCTCTGTTGGTCATGGATGTCAAGTGTCAGAAAGCCATGAGCTTCCAGACACTTGACATCCATACCTGTTTACCAACCAGTGTAACGAGTCTTTAACCCCATGAGCTTTTTTGTGTGTTCTGTACATTCATATATAGAGTTCATATAAATGGCCTAAAATTTGGTAATTTGATAGTATTTTGAAATTTCTCTTGCAAAGATGGGGATCAGCATCATGGTAATCAAAGCTAAAAGGAGATAATATTCTTTGTACTGTGTCCAAGATGATTTTTGCCAGGCAAATTTTATTTATAGTAACATAATTTGTCTTGTTTGTTTCATTTTTTTATGTAGTACAGTAGGTCCAGGTAAGGACTTCATCTGGTAAATATATTAGTAAATTTGTATGTCTTTTTTATTGAAAGATCTGAAAGTAAAGAATTTGAATTTTATAGAATTAATTAATTAATGCATTTCTCTCTCCTTTCAGTTACAAGAAAGTCTTCAGATAAAGTGCCTACTAAATCAGATATGTATAGAAATTATCAACTTTCAAATGTCAGTAACACTGGTGTCTCCATTGACAGTATATGTCAAGTTGGTATTTCAAATTTAATGGCCACAACAGCCAAAGAGTCTGATGAAATTACAAATAATCACAGATTCTCTCCAATCAGCAATCAAAAGTCTCTTGGGAGCAGCTCAGAAACCCTTATGCAAGTAAATGGAAACTTCAGAGAAATTGGATGGAGCGACAAGAGAACTTCCATAGAAACTTCAGATGCTCAAGTGACCTTCCTAAGAGAAATTAACTCTTGTGGAATCCCAAATGAAGAGATTAACTCGACTGGGGAAAATTTTTTTTGTGACACACATTTAGGCCAATTTGAAAGCAGTTTCCCAGTTTGTAGTAATAAATTTAGTAGCTTAAAATTGACCAACGATTTTCTCAACCCTGAAATGGAAAGTCAGGCCAGTTGTATATCAGAAGAAAAGACAAATTCACAGCAGCTTCAATTTGAAAATAAATTAAATGTGCAGTGTTATAATGATGATGAAGATTGCACTTTAAATATCGAGTCAGTTATGAGTACAGACATCCAGCTACAAGCAGAACAGTTTTCTTCATTAAGATTAGCTCCATCAGATACATCGACCAAGCTCAGTGAAGATTCTTTTATATTCAGCCCCAGTCTTAAACATTCAGAAAACATTGATTTACAAGTACCAGATACAGTTGAGGTAAGGAAACTTTTATCTCACTTTAAGTTTTATATCCTTGAAAAGATAAATGCAATTATTTGTAAGTACCAGGTGACCCTTTCAGATATTTTGTGCACCCATCATTTATGACCTCTTTAACTTTTTGATCATTGTTTTCTTAATTCTTTCCTTATCACCACATACTGATCACAGCATTAGATAATTTTAAGTTTTGGATTTTTGTTGATGGTACTATAATTACATATGCAGTATGTAGCAACAGGAACAGAGCTAAGCTTATGGCATCCTGTCTGATATTTAATTCATCCTTTATTATATTAAGTTTGCAGTAGGTGCTGCTTTTACTACCTCATTTAATTCTAGTGTTCTAAAACTATGAAGAACTACTTTATAGTATTCTTTCATTGTGTCTTCACTTTTAGTTTATTTTTATGGCTGCTCATTTTCCCTGTTGATAGGTCTAGGAAATTCCAAATTCGAAATTCCAAAATTTATTTCTTTGCATAACATACAATGTGTAGTTTACATGTAGTAAAATATTATTAAGCATAAAGAAAGCTACTAGCATACATGAGCATTTTGAGCAGACTAATCCTAATGCTTACACACTACATAAAACTAGACACAAGGTTATGGAGTGGTGCATTTTAATTATACAGTAATACAAAATGAGGGGGTGGCAAAAAATTTTAATTAATACAATTTATAGTGGAGGGCTGCAAACAAAAAATAAAAAGTACAATTTACATAGTACAATTTTAATTGTTTATTAATACTTAATTTAGTGTTCTTAAGTTAATTGTCAGTTCTTCATATTCATGGCTCAAAAGGCAAAATGAAAGCTTTTCCTTTTAAATTTAGTAATATATACAGGAGAAGGGGTTACTAGCCCCTTGCTCTCAGCATTTTAGTCACCTCTTACGACATGGCTTACGGAGGAAGAATTCTCTTCCACTTCCCCATGGAAATTCTTCTTCTTTTAAAAGATATTAAATGTGGTCATCATATCTCTTCTTTTCCTCTTATCCGCCAAAGATAGAATAATGAATATCATAGGCCTTTCTTCATATATTACGCCTGTGTGTGTACTCATCTATTTGTGGTTGCAGGGGTTGATTCTCAGATACTGGCCATGCCTCTTTTACTTGCCACTTTTGAGATTCACTCTATCTTAGCCTCGTGAGCCTTGTTGTACCTTCTGTTAGAATTAGGTATATAGTCTGGTTCGATCACTTTCTCCCCAAGATCATTCTACTTCCCAACCACTCTCAGACTGAAGAAATACTTCCTAACATCCCTGTGGCTCATCTGTGACTAACTTCCAGGAGTATCTCCGCGTTCCTGTGTCTCACAGGAACTCGGGCATACTCCTGTCCCTGTTTACCTTATCAATTTCATGAGTATTTTGTATGTTCCCACTGGTTCTGTCCTCTAGTGTCATTAGATTTAATTCCATTGGCCTCTCCTTATAGCTGATGCCCCATAGCTCAAGAACAAGCCTTGTTGCAGAATTCTGTATTATCTCCAGTTTTTAAACATGCTTGTTCAGGTGCAGATTTCATACTGGTTCTGCATGCTACAAGATGGGCCTAATGCACGTATAAAAGTCCCAGAATGATGATTGCCTGAATGTATTTTTTTCTTTCAACTTTTTTAATTTATTTTGCTCATAACTCAAGTGTGCCTCATCCAGTCAGCCTCAGATTTTAATCACTGGTGTATGGTAAGAGGACAAAATTCATGAAGCAATTGTTGATATTTCTGTAGGTTACAAGATGATTCTTTTCAAATTGCTTGTTCTCTCTAGGCCGAAGTATTGCTATGCATTAACAGCGCCTTTCAAGGCAGGTAAAATTGAAATTACTGACCTAAAGAATGTACGATAAAACACTTAACCCTTAAATGGTCCAAACGTGTATATACGTTTTTTCAACATTTGATAGTATGTAAAAAAATGTAGATCTTCTTTCTTGTTTTACATTTAAAAATGTGTAAAAAAAACTTTTACCTACATTTTTTTTTTTTTTTTTTTTTTTTTTTGTTATTTTTGAAAATATGTAAGAAAACGTAGATCTACTTTTGGAGCACTACGGATTTGAACGCCGATCTGTTTGGACCGTTTAAGGGTTAAATTACCGGGAACGGTTTAGGTTCCTTGATTTGTATTCACTGAAACACAGGCAAGAGAGATGCACGATAATATACACTCAGAAAATTCTGGAGGGATTAGTACCAAATTTGCAAATGAAAATCACTCCCTACAAAAGCAAAACACTCGGCAGGCAGTGCAACATCCCACCAATGAAAAGCAGGGAATCCACGAGTATGCTAAGTTTCAACACAGTCAGTGTCATGGGCCCAAGACTGTTCAGCTGCCTCCCAGCATACATAAGGGAGATTACTAATAGACCCCTGGTTGTCTTCAAAAAGGCGCTGGATAGGCACCTAAAATCAGTACCTGACCATCCGAGCTGTGGTTCGTATGTCGAATTATGTGTGGCCAACAGTAATAGCCTGGTTGATCTGGCCATGGTCCATGAGGGATGGTCACAGACCTGGCCCCTGCGGCCAGGTTATCATCCTATCCCTATCCAGTTTTTCTAAATGCCCAAATCACTTCAGCAACAATAATATCCTCTAAATTTTTGTATAAATGAAGTTAAAAAATTTTTTTGTTTTTAGTACAAGTTACATCAATTGTGTATTTTTCTTACAGTGTGTTAACATTCCTAAAGACTGGGATTTGTTAGGAGCTCGTCCAAAATTGCCTGCTTTTGCTCCTCTTCCTAGCACACAAGAATTTGGGAAAGAATTAGACTTGTCAACTCTGAAGAGAAGTGTATCTGCTGTCAGTCTTCAGTCAAGTAGTTCAAGTGTGACCAGTTCACTACTGCCATCTAAGTTGTCTGCTTGTATGTATAATATTTAATGAAGCATGCTTGTAGATTTTGAAGTGATGTTTTTATCTTGAGTCCATTGTTATAACATATTCTTTCTTTCTTTTAACACACCGGCCGTATTCCACCGAGGCGGGATGGCCCAAAAAGAAAAACAAAAGTTTCTCCTTTTACATTTAGTAATATATACAGGAGAAGGGGTTACTAGCCCCTTGCTCTTGGCATTTTAGTCGACTCTTACAACACGCATGGCTTACGGAGGAAGAATTCTGTTCCACTTCCCCATGGAGGTAAGAGGAAATAAACAAGAACAAGAACTAGTAAGAAAATAGAAGAAAACCCAGAGGGGTGTGTGTATATATATGCTTGTACATGTATGTGTAGTGTGACCCAAGTGTAAGTAGAAGTAGCAAGATGTACCTGAAACCTTGCATGTTTATGAGACAGAAAAATGGACACCAGCAATCCTACCATCATGTAAAACAATTACAGGCTTTCGTTTTACACTCACTTGGCAGGACGGTAGTACCTCCCTGGGCGGTTGCTGTCTACCATCCTACTACCTAGTTATAACATATTCATAAACACTTAATCAATATTTGTATCTTGGTTATGTTGTAATATTTTATAAACATTAGTCAGTGAACAGATAAGTCCCACATGTAAAATAGAATCTGGACTAGAAAGGATCTGGTTTGTATTGACTCAGATTGAGTCATACATATGGAATGTCAGATAGTTATTTTTTGTTTTATGTGTAATGTGATCTGTAGCAGCTCACCAAGAATTGTTTGAGCTCAGGGTTAATATTTGTATTGAGTGTTTTGTATACAGGAGGGCCCCACTTATACAACAAATTAAGTTTCAGGCTATTACTGTAAAGCATAAATCACTGTCAAGTGAAACACAGCTTTTTTTCACTTTCAATTCCATATAAAACTCTGATAGCATGTTTACACTGTCATATATTGAGTGAGCGTTAGAGCTAGGCCTAAAAAATGCATTTAGAGTACACACATTACTTACCTTAAAATATTTTCATCCTTAGCTTATAGTGAGTGGCGAATATATTTATTGTAGGAAGTCTGAATAAACGAAGAATGGGTATAATTGAAAACTGCTGCATTAGCGAAACTGTAAAATGAAGTGCTGTAAAGCGGGCCTGCCTGTATGTAATATGCATAGTAGAATGTGTGGATGCTTTGTACATAAGTAAGTGAAATGTTTGGATGAGCGCACAGGGTAATGTTCACTCAAGGATAAACAAAGCTAGACTGGCTCACAGCGCCTGCCGCACAGGCGCGGGCAGGCGGACAGGTCTGGTATGCCGACTGAAATACGGGGAACAGGCCGAAACTCGGGACAAAATTTAGCTGAAAAGAGCGGCTGAAACTCGGGGTTCCACTGTGCATGCAAGTGTAGTGTGACCTAAGTGTAAGTAGAAGTAGCAGGATGCACCCGAAATCTTGCATGTTTATGAGACAGAAAAGACACCAGCAATCCTACCATCATTTAAAACAATTACAGGCTTCAGTTTTACACTTACTTGGCAGGACAGTAGTACCTCCCTGGGCAGTTGCTGTCTATTGACCTACTACTTAGGTGGTATTATTATTATTCTTCTTTCAACACACCGGTCATATCCCACCGAGGCGGGGTGGCCCAAAAAAGAAAAACGAAAGTTTCTCTTTTTAAGTTTAGTAATTTATACAGGAGAAGGGGTTACTAGCCCCTTGCTCCTGGCATTTTAGTCGCCTCTTACAACACGCATGGCTTACAGAGGAAGAATTCTGTTCCACTTCCCCATGGTGATAAGAGGAAATAAACAAGAACAAGAACTAGAAAGAAAATAGAAGAAAACCCAGAGGGGTGTGTATATATATGCTTGTACATGTATGTGTAGTGTGACCTAAGTGTAAGTAGAAGTAGCAAGATGTACCTGAAATCTTGCATGTTTAAGAGACAGAAAAAAGACACCAGCAATCCTACCATCATGTAAAACAATTACAGGATTCCATTTTACACTCACTTGGCAGGACAGTAGTACCTCCCTGGGCAGTTGCTGTCTATTAACCTACTACCTAGGTGGTATTATTATTATTATTATTATTTATTTTATTTTTAAAAGTGGCTGTTGATTATTACTGCTATTATTATTATTTTATTTTAATTTAACATTTTTAGCTATATTCTCAAACATTATGTAGCTTGTCTTTTTTTTTTTTTTTTTTTTTTCAACAAGTCGGCCGTCTCCCACCGAGGCAGGGTGACCCAAAAAAAGAAAGAAAATCCCCAAAAAGAAAATACTTTCATCAACATTCAACACTTTCACCACACTCACACATTATCACTGTTTTTGCAGAGGTGCTCAGAATACAACAGTTCAGAAGCATACACATATAAAGATACACAACACATCCCTCCAAACTGCCAATATCCCAAACCCCTCCTTTAAAGTGCAGGCACTGTACTTCCCATTTCCAGGACAAGTCCGACTATATGAAAATAACCGGTTTCCCTGAATCTCTTCACTAAATATTACCCTGCTCACACTCCAACAGATCGTCAGGTCCCAAGTACCATTCGTCTCCATTCACTATCTAACACGCTCACGCACGCTTGCTGGAAGTCCAAGCCCCTTGCCCACAAAACCTCCTTTACCCCCTCTCTCCAACCCTTTCGAGGACGACCCCTACCCCGCCTTCCTTCCCCTATAGATTTATATGCTTTCCATGTCATTCTACTTTGATCCATTCTCTCTAAATGACCAAACCACCTCAACAACCCCTCATCTGCCCTCTGACTAATACTTTTATTAACTCCACACCTTTTCCTAATTTCTACACTCCGAATTTTCTGCATAATATTTACACCACACATTGCCCTTAAACAGGACATCTCCACTGCTTCCAACCGTCTCCTCGCTGCTGCATTTACCACCCAAGCTTCACATCCATATAAGAGTGTTGGTACTACTGTACTTTCATACATTCCCTTCTTTGCCTCCATAGATAACGTTTTTTGACTCCACATATACCTCAACGCACCACTCACCTTTTTTCCCTCGTCAATTCTATGATTAACCTCATCCTTCATAAATCCATCCGCCGATATGTCAACTCCCAAGTATCTGAAAACATTCACTTCTTCCATACTCCTCCCCAATTTGATATCCAATTTTTCTTTATCTAAATCATTTGATACCCTCATCACCTTACTCTTTTCTATGTTCACTATTTCAACTTTCTACCTTTACACACATTCCCCAAACTCATCCACTAACCTTTGCAATTTTTCTTTAGAATCTCCCATAAGCACAGTATCATCAGCAAAAAGTAACTGTGTCAATTCCCATTTTGAATTTGATTCCCCAAAATTTAATCCCACCCCTCTCCCAAACACCCTTGCATTTACTTCCTTTACAACCTCATCTATAAATATATTAAACAACCATGGTGACATTACACATCCCTGTCTAAGACCTACTTTTACTGGGAAATAGTCTCCCTCTCTTCTACACACCCTAACCTGAGCCTCACTATCCTCATAAAAACTCTTTACAGCATTTAGTTACCACCTATTCCATATACTTGCAACATCTGCCACATTGCTCCTCTATCCATTCTATCATATGCCTTTTCTAAATCCATAAATGCAATAAAAACTTCCCTACCTTTATCTAAATACTGTTCACATATATGCTTCAGTGTAAACACTTGATCTACACATCCCCTACCCACTCTGAAACCTTGCTCATCCGCAATCCTACATTCTGTCTTACCTCTAATTCTTTCAGTTATAACCCTACCGTACACTTTTCCTGGTATACTCAGTAAACTTATTCCTCTATAATTTTTACAGTCTCTTTTGTCCCCTTTCCCTTTATATAAAGGGACTATACATGCTCTCTGCCAATCCCTAGGTACCTTCCCCTCTTTCATACATTTATTAAACAAAAGTACCAACCACTCCAACACTATACGTATACCCCCCTGCTTTTAACATTTCTGTCATGATCCCATCAGTTCCAGCTGCTTTACCCCCTTTCATTCTACGTAATGCCTCACGTACCTCCCCCACACTTATATTCTGCTCTTCTTCACTCCTAAAAGATGGTATACCTCCCTGACCAGTGCATGAAATTACTGCCTCTCTTTCTTCCTTAACATTTAAAAGTTCCTCAAAATATTCTCGCCATCTACCTAATACCTCCATCTCTTCATCTACTAATCAGGATTAATTGCAAGTTTATTAGTTGACTTTTATTGTTGAGGTTAACAAGATCTGGATTGGGAATGATGCAGGTAGTGTTGTCCACAAATAAGACTGGTTTAAGTTGTCAAGGTGTTTCATAGGACATTGATATAAAGTTGTCCTAGGATGCTGCCCTGTGACACCACTATGTTGTTGGATTGAGTAGATGAACTGGTATCATTATATAGTTATGTGCTGAAGTCTGTTGAAGTAGGCTTTATGTAGAAGAGTGTTTGGCCTCTCATTCCTGCTGTAGTTTATAAGGTAAGATGTTGTATCACCAGCTACAGAAGTGCTACTGTATTGTATTTTTGCATATTACTGTAATTATTATTATTTTTTGTTGCTATTATTATTTGTTTGTGGTTGTGGAATAGTTCTATTGTACTTTAGCTTAATTTAAAATAGATATTTAAATAAAAAGTAATTTCTAGGCACTATTTCCTAATTCAGTTGTATTATTTTAAGTGTTTATGGAGGAAGACGTAGAGGTTACTCACATCCACAACCCATCATTCTTCTATGTTCAACGTAAAATTGATTGTGATAAGTTGAAGAAGCTCTTCAGAATGATTAATACAAAACCTAAGAAAAAGTTACCACAAAACTTAATCCCCAGTGTTGGTGAGTTTATTCTTTTATTGGGTATCCTTGATAAGGTAATAAGTGTATTTATGCCTTATTTCTTGTAATGACTTCTTGATAGGTAGTGTGTTACATAGGAGTGAGTGGAGAAGACTAGTTTTTTGGGACTTGATGAGTTGTTGGAGTGTGAGCAGGGTAATATTTTGTTAAGGGATTAAGGGAAACTAGTTAGCATTGTACTTCCCACCTCTAGGTGGGAAGTACAATGCCTGCACTTTAAAGGAAGGGTTTGGGATATTGACTGTTTAGAGTGATGTCCTTTTTTTTTTGGGGGGGGGGGGAGGGGAGGTGTCATCCTGCCTTGGTGGGAGATGACCAGCATGTTAAAACCAAAAAAATATTTATTAGTACAGTTTTTATTTATAGGTCTGCCCCTGTAACTGGAGTTTAAAATACACTCCTGCACTAAGCCACTCCAGGGTAACATTATTTATATATAAAAAGGAAAGACTCCAAGTCTGGACTGACACTTTAACATGTCTGGCTTACCCCTCACTGCTGAATTGTAGTATGAAAAAGACAAGAATTGCTTCAGGTTAAATATAATGCAATGGTTAGGAATCTTCAGTTATTATTCATAACTAGACTGATTATCAAAATGTGTTTATAAAAGGCAATCAGCACATTTTGTACATACTCTGAATACCCATGGTTATGTAGAGCATTTTGGGCAGCATTAAATAAGCTCATAATTACTTCTAAATTTTTGTGCAAGTAATTTGTTTAACAATTTGCTTTAAAATTTGTGGAATTACAAATAGTCCTTAAATAAAAACGCAGCTACTGATTTAAATTTCAGTATTACTGCACATTACTTAAAATATACTGAAGCCCTTGAAACATATCTAATATCAAATTCCACACTTTTTAACCTTATTTATTTCATAAAAATTCATTTATTCATTTTGTAAGATTTTTTTTTTCCTCCAAAATCTTCTCCCACAGGAATTTTTTTTTTTGGTCCAGGTATGCCACAGTTAATGGGTAAATTAATTTATAGTATGAAATTATGCATACAATATTCCTTACAATATTCAGCAGTTTTTTTTAAATTTGAACATTGTTGAACATGAATTAATCCAAGTATGAGAGAAATCCCTATGCATATTTATTTGTGAATGCAAGTCACTAGTTAATAAGTTAGTAGTTGTAGCCAAAAATGCCAAATATTTCTTTTTATTTTCAAAAGGGGAAAAATTTGGGCCCATTTACTCAGGGAACAGAAATTTGGGTTTATCAAACCCCTCGTAATTTTTCAGTGAAGCCAGATGCTTTTTGGGTTTTTGGGGTTCCTATATCAAACTAGGGTTAAAAATTAAAATACCCCAAAAATACCCAAACAGAAAAGATTCATTATTTGTTTCGTGGTATCAATTGATTAAAATGGAGATGTTTTATTTGGGTTTCCCAGGGCTGGAAGTAGCTTAAAAATTTACCTCAAAGAAGTGGAAAATTTTTTTTTCCCAAATTTTTCCCTTAGGAGGGGCAAAGCCCCCCTACCCCCCTTTAGTTTTTTATGGGTTTTTACTAGGTTGATTAATGGACAGTTTTAAGTGTTGTAGTCCCTGGAATTTTTACAGTTTTTTTTTTTTGGGTTTTTTTGGGATAGAAAAATTGGGCGTTTTCTTGTGCCATTAATAAAAACAAAGGCATACTAGTGAAACAAAAGGAATTTGTTCAAATTAAAAAAGGGAAATTTTTCCTTCTTTTTTTTTTTTAATGTGGACATTTGGGGAAAATTAAAATTTTCCCCAGGGGGCCCGAACAGTAAAAAGGGTTTAAAAAGGTAATTATGAAATCAACAGAAGAATGCATTTTAGATTTTTTTTATGTCAATAAAAATTTAAACTCTAGCAAGAATTGGCATAGAGATGTCATTGATTTGAATGCTCATTTATCTCAGGTTTGCTTTCAAAAGTCAAAATTTTTTGGGTCGGGAAATTTTGTATATGCTTGAAATTGAGCTTTGTTCGATGGGGAGTGAAGGAGAAGAATGGTTTTTGGGGCCCTGTTTGATAGTTGGATTTGGGGAGCAGGGTAATTTTTTAGTAAAGGGATTCGGGGGAAAACCGGTTTTTTTATATACCCCGGATTTGAGTCCTGGAAATGGGAAGTCCCAATCCCCTGCACCCCTAGAAGAGGGGGGGGGGGGATTTTTGGCAGTTTGGGGGGATACTTTTGTGTATCTTTAAAATGTTTTATTTTCTAAGCGGGTTGGGGTTCGAGAAACCTCTGCAAAAACATTTATAATGTGTGTGTGTGGTGAAAGTTTAAAGGGATGATGAAAGTATTTTTTTTTTGGGGGATTTTCTTTTTTTTTGGGGGTCCCCCCCTGTCTCGGTGGGAGACGGCCAAACTTTTTAAAAAAAAAAAAAATTTAATAATAATAAATAATAATAATTTTATTTTGACTTAAAAACCCATGTTTATAAAAAAAATAAAATGGGTGTCAGGGGCCAAAAACCCCCTTTTTAAAATGCAGAGCTTTTTCTGAAAAAACTTAAAATTAAACTTAAGTTTAATAAGGAAATAATATACATAGGGCCATTAACGAAAACGATATTAAAACTATATTTTGTTTATATTGATTTTTTATTTTAGTTTAATTTTTTTTTATTAGGGCACCCCATCCCACCCTGTGGGCGGTAGAAAAAAGATTCCCAGAGGTACTAATTGGTCCAGGGACTGGACCCCCAAAAGTTTTTGATAGCTGGGGAAAGTTACAGGGGTAATAACTCACAAATTTACAAAGTAATGAACTCAAAAATTTTCAAAAGGGAATGAACCCCCAGGAGGTCTGGTCACAATCATGACAAGTTACCCAAAAGGGATTTACAGATTACAGAGGTTTGTAATGGGTCCCCGGGGCTGGGCCCCCAAAATTTTTTATAGGGAATTAAGGGACAAAGGTAAAGGTCTCACAAGTTACAAAGGTAAGGAAAATTCTGTAGGGAAAGGTTTTCTTTTTGTTTATTTTCATGGCTACAATTTATGAAAAAATTAAAAGGTTTAAAGAGCAATTTTACACATTTCCCACCAACCCGGGGCACAACTGTAATGAGTTTTGGGCAAAAATTGATTTGTGTGTGTGTGTGTGTGTTTGTGTGTGTGTGTGTGGTGTGTGTCCCGGTGTATGTGTGTTCCCGTGTGTGTGGTGTGTTTTGTGTGTGTGTGTGTGTGTGGGGTCTGTTTCTGGGCCCGTCTGTTGTTCCCGTTTTTGTCTCTCTCTCTCTCTTCTCTCTCTCTCCTCTTCTCTCTCTCTCTCTCTCTCTCTCTCCTCTCTTTTCCCCTCTCTCTTCCTTTTCTATCTCTTTCTCTCTCTCTTTCTCTTTCTTTCTCTCTTTCTTTTTTTTTCTTTCCTTCCCCTCTTTTCTTTTCCCCTTTTTCCCCCTCTTCCCCTTTTTTTTCCTTTCTTTTCTTTTCTTTCTCTCTCCTTTTTCTTTCCTTTCTTTTTCTCTTTCCTCTCTTTCTCTCTTCTCCTTTTCTTCTCTTCTTTTTTTTCTCTCTTTTTCTCTCTTTTTCTCTCTTTAAACTTTTTCTCCTCTCTCTCTCCTCCTCTTTTTCCTCTCTTTTCTCTCCCCTCTCTCTCCTTTTCTCTCTTTTTCTCTTTTCTCTTTTCTCTTTTTTTTTTTTTTTTTTTTTTTTTTTTTTTTTTTTTTTTTTTTTTTTTTTAAACCAGGGGTTTTTACAAGGTTTAAAGGGCCCAGCTTTATTGGGGCAGCTATAATTTTTGGGTTAAAAAAGGGTTCCTAAATTTATTGGAAGCTAAAGCTGTTACCTACATCACTCCTTTGAAAGCCAAATTTTTTTTGTTATGAGACATACAAAGGGACGGGAAGGATGAAGTTGGAGCCATCCCGTGGGCCAGCATTTTTATTTGATCAACTGACTTTATCTCGTTGGGAAAACATTATGCTGTTTGAAGTGTTCCATACTCCCAGTCATCCTGGGGATGTTGATCTCAGATGGGTTGTTCTGGGGGAAGGGTACAGCCCAAATGAAGTTGCTGCTTTTTGGCCCCTCTTGTGGGTTAAAAACCCTTTTTTTTAACCTGTCCTCGAAGGGGGATCCCAATGTGGTATTTTGACAATATTTGGGCCCTTTTACAAAACAGTAAGGCCCCCCACATCCCTCCTAAAGTTAAGGCTCTGCTGAAAAGACAGATCTATCCAGGGTGGGTCCAGGCGGAGATGAGACGTCTTTTCTTTTGTTCTCTTACCCCTGTCAAGCCCTCGCAATGAGAGGGGGGGCAGGGAAAACCAAAAAAGTGGAGGGATACTCAAGGGGTGGAAAGGGACTTGGCCTCGGACAAAATCTTGCAACCCCCATGTCAAGCAGAGGGGAGATAAAGGGGAAAATGCTGTAAGCTCCCGGCTGCCTTTTTTTGCAAGATTTACAACATGGTTTCTTCCCTGGTTTTGTTTTTTGGGGTCAAAAAATTTTACCCCAAGGGTATCAACTTCTTTCCCGGGCCAAAAATCGTCCCCTTATCCCCTTTCTACCCGCACCCGCTTTTCCATCATGGGCCTAGAGACGATTTTTTTCATTTGCGTTTTCTCAGGGGGCAAATGTTACTTGGCCCCTCTATTTCCCCCCCGCTGATATAGCTCTCAGCTGGTGGGTTGAAAGTAGCTTAGAGAAACTTTGGGATTTCTTTTCTTGGTTTAAATGAAATCAGTGTACAGGGCGTCTGCCCTATGCTGGGGATTCTGGGTTTTAGATGAAAAAGGGCGTTGAAAATAGACATTTCCCAAAACAGTGGACCCACCGTTTCCCCGGTGGAACGCTTGCCCCAATGGATGCCCCTTTCTGGGTTCCGTTCCCTTGAGGAAATACCTTAGGATCTACCATGAAAGGGAATCACTGGGAGACATAGCGAGACCTGCCTTTCCCCTGCTTGAAGTTTTGCTTTAAAAGGCCCGGTGCCACACCCCGGCGGGAAAACGCCAGCAATGTCCAGTGCTACCCCCACGTGACTTTGGATTTTTATCCAGTGAAATGTCCCCTTAGTGGAGAGGTTTAGCAAAAAGATCAGCACAAGTAACCTTTTCCTTTAAGCCATATTTTAGGATCTTACCATGATTGACAAGAGTACACTTTGGGTTTTGTTGCTGATTCTGCTCTGCTTTTTTCTTTTTTTGAACAGGGACTACATTTGCCTCTTTCCATGGAGAGGGCCATTAAACTGTACTAAGGGAGTGCTGAAGAAAGCCCAGTTGAGGGGGCTGCTAGTGGGCTGCACATCTTTTTCAACAATCTTGGGGGTCAAATTGTCTGGGCCCACAGCTTTTTTGGGCAAGTGATTTTAAGAAGGAAAACACCCCTCCTGCCCCTTTTTGTCACCCCTGGCCCGTTTTTACACAGTTCCTTTTCAGCTAGGCCCAAAGGGGGGTCCCTTGCTTGGGGTCAGGGGGAAATTGCATTTTTGGGAGCAAAAATGTTCAAACAAAGAGGTTTTTCCTTTTTCTTTATACAGTAGAGGTTGGGCCCAAAACCTGTGATTAGAGGTGGGGAAAAAGTTCATCAGGCAGATAACCTTGTCCCGTCCTTGCCAAAGGGGCCCCCCCGGTTTTGGAGGCCCACCCTACCTGGGTGGTAACTTTTTTTAAATGTCCCCCCCTCCCATTTAGCAATGGCCCACTTTTGAAAAATCACCCCTATTTCCTACAGGCTTGATGTGGGAAGTTCCTGGATAGGTGGTTTGGAAAGTCTCTTTTTCCTTCCCCATGCTTTTTTACTTAGCCCGTTTGCAGCCTCTCTACAACGAAAGGCCCAAACCCCAAAGGGTGATCTGTAGGCTTTTTTTCACATATTGCCGGGGAGGGAAAAGTGTTTTTTTTTTTTTGTTGCAATTAAAGGGAAAAGTGTCCAAATGAAGGCTTTCACTTGGTTGTCAACATCCCCCTGAAGAAGAGCATTCCAGTCGGTGGTGGCGAGCTCAGAGCAAAGGGCTGGCCAATTACCTCTTTCCCATAGCCAGGTTGTGCGTGTGGACTCCTCACCTCGTTCTGTTGGGATCTTAAGTGTGGTAAAAACAGCCTTGTGGTCAGACGATCCAACGTAGCCGAGGGGTTGACAAGTGACTATGCCTTCTGCCAGATCACTCACTACTGGGTCAAGGGAGGAGCCAGAGATATGAGTAGGGAAATCAATAAAGTTTCTCATGTCAAACACTGCAAGAAGGTCATCAAAGTCCCTCTGTATAAGGTGCTGGTTGAGGTCACCAACAATTATAATATGTTGACAGTTGTGTTGTAGCAGAAGGGAATCAATATTTTCCATTAGGAAGTTGATAGGGTCTGCGTGTTGCCACTGAGGTCTGTACATTGCACATGCTAGTACAGAGGTACTAGTGTTTATACAGAGCTTGAAGAACATCATTTCAAGATGTGTAGGGGTGGCAACATCTATGTGCTGGGCATGAACACTTTTAGAGAAGCACACAGCAACACCACCTCCTTGCCCTTGCCTGTCTCTTCTCATCCATGAGGTGTAGCCAGCAATTCTTGCAAAATTTTCTGGAGTCCTGTCATCCAAAAATGTTTCAACAACAGCTATCATGTCGGGACGTCGAGTGTTCACAAAGCTATGTGTGAGCTCTCCAACATTAGTAATGAAACCTCTAATGTTGGCCGACAGGATGCTGATAGACTGGCTCCTCTTTCTCTCTTCTCTCTCTCTCTCTCTCTTCTCTCTCCTCTCTCTCTCTCTCTCTCTCTCTCCTCCCTCCTCCCTCTCTCTCTCTCTCTCTCTCTCTTTTCTCTCTTTCTCTTTTCTCTCTTTCTCTCTTTTTCTCTTTCTCTCTTTCTCTCTCTTTCTCTCCTCTTTCTACTACTCTTTCTCTCTTCTTCTCTTCTTTCTCTTTCTCTCTTTCCTCTCTTCTCCCTTTCCCTTTCTCTTTTCCTCTTTCCTCTCTTTCTCTTTCTCCTCTTTCTCTCTTTCCTTCCTTTCTCTCTTTCTCCTTTCTCTCTTTCACTCATTCTTTCTCTCTTTCTCTCTTTCTCTCTATTCTCTCTTTCTCTTTCTCTTTCTCTTTCTTCTTCTTTCTCTCTTTCTCTTCCTCTTTCTCTTCTCCTCTCTCTCTCTCTTCTCTCTCTCTCTCTTCTCTCTCTCTCTCTCTCTCTCTCTCTCTCTCTCTCTCATCCTCTCTCTCTCTCTCCTCTCCATCTCTCTCACACACACACACACACACACACACACTTAGTTACTTACTTTAGTTTAATATCTTTATTATGCACCCCATACCCATCCTGTGGGCAGTAGTCAAAAGATTACAAAGGTACATAATGGGTCCAGTGACTGGACCCCAAAGTTATGATGGCTGAACTAGTTCCAAAGGTGATGAACTCCAGGTAGATCTGGTCACAATCATGGCAAGTTACAGAGGTAATGAATCAGCTTCACTCCTATACATGAGAGAGTTTTACCTATGTTCATGATATTGAGCAAATGCTTGCATAGTTTTTACAGATGTATTTATGATGGGCTGGATAGGTTAAGGAGATAAGGTGTTTTTTAACTGTAGTTTTAAAAATGCTAGCTGAGCCAGTGGTTCTGGAGATTTACGGCAGTTCCAGATTTTGGGCCCCTTTATGCACAATGAGTT